ACAGGCAATACGAACAGCCTCAACACGATTCCATCCTCCTTCTCGGAGGCTGTCCTGAGATATGCACGACACCAGTTCGAACTTGATAGACTGATTTCCGACGTCAAACAACAACTTTACCATCTGCCCGGCGACTCCTCCTGGTTTCCAATGCCTCAAAACCCGACTGACCAACAAGGAAGAATCAAACAAGAGCTCGTGAATTGGTGGCGAGAGGTGTCCGAAGAATCTTTTGATTTCCCCGGTGTTGACAACCGACAGCGTCGCATCTGGAAGCTGAAGCTGAAGATCAAGTATCACACCACGATGGTTATGCTGTACCAGCCTTCACAGGTCATTCGAAACCCTCCTCCCGAGTCTCTCCAGATCTGCTTCAACAATGCTTCGTCCATTCTGCAGGACTACCAAATGTTGCACGATATGCAAGGTCTTCATCATGGATGGCGAACGGTCCAAAACATTTTCGCGGCCGGGGCGACGCTGATCTATTCTTTCTGGACGTGTCCCATCGTCCGTCAAAGCGCGTCCACAACCGACCTTTCCAAAAGTCTGCGCGCTTGTTCAGGTCTCTTGGCAGTTGGTGGGGAATGGTGGCCGTCTGTCAAAAGGGGACAGAGAAGTTTCGGGGCTATTGTCGACCTCACAGTCCGCAAACTTTACACCGGCAATATGCCATCAAAGAACCCCAGACTCTTCATGCCTCTCAGCGCGGAAGACGGAGAGACTGCGATTGAGAACTCAGAAGGAGCACCTGTCTATGACGCAACTGGGCAGCAGTCTGACCTTTCCCACATAGCGCTCAACGGCGCAGATGCACCCTGGCACCAGATGGCGGGAGCCTCGATGGAGCTACCGAATGCCCACGACCCGGTACATTGGCAGGGAGTCTATCCAGCCCCTCCATTCCATTCAACAACGAACGACTATGTTCCGGAAATTGAGACTTTTCTTGCCGATTTCGACAAGTCTGAGTTCAGCTGGAGCTTTCCTTTGACTAGCATTAGCGACCCCTACGATATAGCGAACTTCCCGAACCCGGGATATCGATGACGCAGGTAGGCACTCGTCAGCGCCGTCTTGGGATTTCCCGGGACTTGGAAGGATCTAGCTGCTTGAATGCGCTATCAATTGGGCCACGAGAGTGATCCATACGGATGGCTCCGGGGGTTGGGCTCGCATTTGGTGTTAGACGGAGTAATCCGTTTTTGGATCTTCCTCAGCTCCCGGACTACTCCGCGTATGCCCCAATTTCGGAGCTCTAAACGGAGCTACCCAGGCCTTTCGACTGTCCGGACTTGAAGCAGGAGCTGCTACGAATTGTTCATGGCATCGCAATGACCAGCACGGTTTGGTATCGCAGTACGACTGGAAGGAGAATGAAAAAGATGCCGTGCCCTTGGAAGGTCTCTGGACTAGCACTGAGGCATAGAAACCGCAGTCATGTCGTTAGCGCTGTTGAAGGCAACTAGGTCAAAAGGGAGCTCCTCATTCAAACAATCCTCTTACGCCGCATGGAGAAGACATTTTGCAACTCCAGCTGCATCTGTACAAGTTCCGTTAAGTCCTTTGGAGCCGGTAAGTCTTTTGCATAATTCCTGTCAAAACCAAAGCACTGAGTCTGACCGTGACCTAGTACAACCCATTGGATTATGGATCGCGACTACAAGCCCTTCATGACCTGCGAAAGTCCAATAAACGACCCCTGACTCTCTCCGAAAAGATCCTATACAGCCACCTAGTCCCCGGCAACGATGGGTGGTCGCTCGACGAAATACATCGAGGCAAGACAATATTGCGCCTGCGACCCGATCGAGTAGCATGTCACGATGCCACAGCAACAATGGCCTTGCTTCAGTTCATTAGCGCTGGTCTTCCACGCGTCAAAGTTCCGACATCCGTACACAGTGACCACCTGATCGTTGCCGAGAAAGGTGACAAGGAGGATCTCGCCCGTGCCGCTAGCGACCACGAAGAGGTGTACGCCTTTCTCGGCAGTGCGACGAAGAAATATGGAATCGGATACTGGAAGCCAGGAGCGGGAATCATACACACAACCATCTTCGAGAACTACGCATTTCCAGGCGGCCTGATGATTGGCACGGACTCGCACACACCGAATGCCGGAGGAATGGGCATGCTAGGCATCGGTGTCGGTGGAGCTGATGCTGTCGATGCAATGTCTGGTATGCCGTGGGAGCTCGTCTGTCCAAAGGTCTGCGGCGTGCGCCTGACCGGCAAACTCCAGGGATGGAGCTCGTCAAAGGACATAATCTGCAAGCTTGCGGGTATCCTCACTGTTTCTGGAGGTAAAGGCAAGGTCATTGAGTTCTTTGGTCCAGGCACCGAAACGCTGGGAGCTACGGCAATGGCAACCGTCTGCAACATGTCTGCCGAAATTGGGTCAACGTCTTGCGTGTTCCCTTACTCTGAAGCCATGTCACGATACCTGTCAGCCACGAATCGGAAGAATATCGCCAACTATGCCGATATTTTCAAACAGCCACTTCTTGTTGGAGACGAGGGCTGCGACCGCTATTACGACGAAATAATCGAGATAGACCTGTCTTCCCTTGAGCCTCACATTAATGGCCCCTTCACCCCAGATCTAGCACATCCACTATCTCAATTCAAACGACACGTCAGCGAGAGCTCATGGCCGTCAGACATCTCTTGCAGTCTAGTCGGTAGTTGCACCAATAGCTCGTACGAAGATCTAGAAAAGGTTCGCCATCTCGTCGTACAAGCCAAGGAAGCTGGGCTAGAGAAGACAAAGACTCGGTTCCTGGTCAGCCCAGGAAGTGAGCAAATCCGTGCTACGGCAGAGGAGGAAGGGATTCTCGATACGCTCAGACAAGCTGGAGCAGTTGTTCTGAGTAATTCCTGTGGCCCATGTGTCGGACAATGGGATCGGGAAGACGTCGATGTGAAGAACGCCGAGAGGAACTCGGTCATTTCCAGCTTCAACCGCAACTTCACAGGTCGCCATGACAGCAATCCGGCCACTCATTCTTTTGTCACATCACCTGAGCTTGCCGCAGCATTTGCCTTCGCTGGCAATCTCACGTTCAACCCCATGACTGATGACATCCCCATACCTGGTCCTCATGGTGCTCCCAAGAAGTTCCGTTTCACGCCCCCTCAAGCTGCAGAGCTCCCGATGGCCTTCTCTCCAGGCGCCAACCGTTTTCAACCTCCTGTACTATCGGACACAACAGACTTGAAAGTCAACATCCTCCCTTCCAGCGATAGACTCCAACTCCTTACACCATTTGACGGATGGCAAGTCGGCAAAGCGCGTGACATGAACATCCTGATCAAGGTGCGTGGAAAATGTACGACAGATCATATCTCGCCCGCTGGTCCTTGGTATAAGTACCGGGGCCATCTGGAGAATATCAGCAACAACATGCTCCTCGGAGCCACCAACGACTTCTTAGGCGACGCCAGCTCATTGAACATGGTTGGCAAAGCCATGGACCCGGTCGATGGCCAAATCAAACCCGTGCCTCAAGCTGCGAGAAGCATGAAGAGCGCTGGCATTAGGTGGTGCATCATCGGAGATGATAATTACGGCGAAGGAAGCTCGCGAGAACATGCTGCGCTGGAGCCGCGATATCTGGGTGGTGTTGCCGTCATTGCCAAGAGCTTTGCCAGAATTCACGAGACGAACTTGAAGAAGCAGGGCATGTTACCGCTTACGTTCAGTGATCCCGCAGACTACGGCAAAATACAGAAAGGGGACCAAATCACGCTTGCAGACGTCGAAGATGCTGATTTGCGGCCCGATAAACAGGTAACCATGGAGGTCGTCACCCTACAAGGTTCCAGGTGGACGACCAAGTTGAATCACAGTTTCGAAATCAACCAGATTGAATGGTTGCGGGCGGGGAGTGCGCTTAACCACATCAAGCGCGTTGCACTTCGTGGCGAAGCATGATGATACCTCGTCGGCGTTAGGCCCCGAGACCCTAGAGGGATCATATGATAAAATGCCAAATTCTGTTCTGCATAGCGTTCTTCCTGATATCATAAAAACAAAGTAACCTTTACATAGGCTCGGACGTGTGCTGTTGTCATCACTATGATAATTCTTGAACTCCTTACGGATGTCGTAGCCATGATAAGGTACTATTGAACGAGAGATTGTTGTGCGGAGTGTGTAAGTGGAGCAAATTATGAGGCGATGATGTCCCGCCTTAACATACCCTCAGCGTTATGGAACCCGTTATATGCGGCGAGATGTTGAAATGGAACGGGATGGATGTTCACGATTCATGTTGTCAAGCCAAACTCGCGAGACCGGTGGTCTATGGGGGACTTTTTCGCAACTTCATGATGGCGAATATCAATTTGCATTCTCAAGGAGTAGTCCGGGCAATGAAATTGGACTTCTCCATGTGAAGGACTGTTCCGCTAAGACACGGACTACTCCACTAGGCAAGGGAGTGAAGGGTTGAAATAGTTCCGAGATGACCTTTACCAGCCTTAGCAGTGGCTGGAATAACCCGAGACAGGTACGGAGAAGCCCACTATCGAACTCCTTGACTTCTCTATCTACACTGGCATGGCAGACACCTGAATCTTTCGATTCCGTGGCCACCTATTGGCTGGATGCTTGTATGAAGTAGAAGGATAGGCTGGGCGTGTAATCCTCATAGCTTCAGGTAGACCTTTGTACGGATACTCTACTAGCGGGTAAGAACCTGGGGTTAGATTGGGGGTATGCGGGGTAATTCTGGGGTTTCCGTCTTGTCGCTCGACAATCAGAACAGACTGACATTTGTGTCTCCCTTTGGTGTGTGTCTGAAAAGTAATGCTGATGTTCAGAAAGACATAACTTAAGACCCCTCGTCACCAAGCACCATGCCGCGTTATTTCTACTAGCATGCCTTCTCTTTTTCTTGCAGTAAGAGATATTGGATAAATGTTTCATCTGCAAGAATTCTGATTGATCGTTTTAGCCTTCCCTTTCCTATTCACAAGCTTCAATACCAACAACAATGGCTGTTGATAAATCCAGGGAAAAGGGTGATACAATGCAAGCCAGCTCTGATCATATCGACGATTTACAAGCCTTTCAAGAGCAAGATATTTCCCTTGATAAAGATGTCACTGATGTCAACTTCAGCATGGCCGAAGAGGAATTCATTGCTCACGAGAAAAGTTTGGTGAGGAAACTCGACTACACACTCGTCCCTATGGTCAGTCGTCCGAAAACAGCAGCTCGAGATCCAGTACAATGGTTAACAGCTTCTAGGTTTGGCTCTTGTATCTTTTCAACTATCTTGATCGAAACAACATTGCGTAAGATTCTTATAACCTTCAACTCGTGCAATATTGGTCAGTCTTTAATAGTAACTGGTCACAGTCAAGCCCGATTGAGCTCATTTGAGAAGGATCTCAATCTGACTGGAAATCAATTCAACGTTGCTGTTTCCATCCTGAACATAGGCTATATGTTGATGCAGCTTCCCAGGTAAGAGAGACGTGCTTGGAATTCTGCCCATCCACGCTGAAGTACTGACATTCATCAAGTAACATGCTCATAACTCGAACACGACCCGGCATATACATCCCTGCTTGTACATCATTGTGGTCTATCGTCTCAGCTGCCACGGCTGGAGCTGGCAATTACACCCACCTTCTTGTTATACGATTCTTTCTTGGCATCGCGGAAGCCCCGTTCTTCCCCGGAGCCATGTATCTTCTATCATGCTGGTATCCACGCAAAGAGCTAGCATTGCGCACTGCCGTCTTATACTCTGGCGTCCTCCTTGCCACGGCATTCTCTGGACTTATTGCTGCTGGCGTGCTCTCGAGCCTCGAGGGCGCAAGGGGCATCGCTGGTTGGCAGTGGCTGTTCATCATCGAAGGAGCTGGAAGTTTCACCGCAGCGCTTCTAGGTTTCGCGCTGCTTCCTGACTTCCCCGGACAGAGGTCGGGTGTTGCCAAGTGGTTGCTCACAGATGCTGAGCAAAGAGTCGCGGTTGAGCGTATTCGAAGAGATCGGGTTTCTTTGCCAGAGGCAGACTCGAGTGTCTGGAACGGGCTGAAACTTGCCATCAAAGACCCCCGTACTTGGGTATTCGTGAGTCACGCTGAAATTTGCAGAGAAAATATTACGCACAGAGATGCCGAACGGTACACTGACACAGCAGTAAAATAGGTGGTAATGCTGACCGCGAATCATTCAGCCTATGCCTTCAACAATTTCTTTCCCACGATCGTCAAGGGCTTTAAGCTTGGTAGCAACACCTTGACCCTCATTCTGACGGCGCCGCCGTACCTTCTTGCCACTGTCGTCGCATTCACGACTGCCTGGTCTTCCGATCGACGTAAAGAGCGCGGCTTCCACATCTCCGTGCCACAGGGCGTTGCATGCGTTGGGTTCATCATTTCGGTCTCCACGGTCAACATAGCCGCTCGTTATTTTTCTGCATTCCTTTACATCTGCGGGTGAGTTGAGCATATCCGGTGGCCAAGGAAGTAAACTTTAGCTGATACAATAATCCAGATGCTTTTCTTCCAATGCCATGGTCTTCTCGTGGGCTAGCTCCACGCTGAACCAAACTCCAGAGAAGAGGGCGTGTGCAACAGCCATCATCAACCTGCTCAGCCAATTAGGCAATATCTGGAGCCCCTACTTCTTTCCATCGAATGATGGGCCTCGATATGTTATGGCCAACTTGCTCATGATGGCATCGTCGGCCTTGAGTATTGTCACATGCGTGATCATGAAAATTATGCTTACCAGGGCCAACAAAAGCCTCAAGAGAGAAGGTAGAGACACAACACTGTACACATTGTAATTGATGATGGCATTTGGCAAAGATTCCGGTGAAATCCTGGAAACTGGATGAGAAAAATGGGAAAGACGAAAGATTCGCACCATTACTTTAATCTTCAAAGCAGCGCGGTAATGATGAAGTTGATGTTGAAATTTAGCATTAGTATATGGTCATAATTCTCATTTGCCATCAAAGAAATGCAGCATAACCAGTGCTCATCCAACTAACTCATCGATGGAGTGGTCATTGAGAGTCCAACTCGGTAAGTTTCAGCAAAGTTCTAATGAGAGCACGATCCCACGCTACCAACAGGGGGTAGGGAACCTTAAGGAGAGGTGAAGAACTTTAGCTCTGCACTGCCACAGATTTGGTGACTGCATCGGCAATGCCGAAAGAGGATGACCCGGTCTGCTATTTGATGGGATATAAGTAGATACGCAAGTAAGAAATATCAATATTTCTATGTCCAAGCACTGATTGTCGTTGTTGGTATCCCTATTACAGGGTAATTGGTTCGAACCGTGGGTTGACGAAGAGATCAATTGAACTATATGAATTTCTGCGTAGGTGTAAAAAGGAGGTTCCAACCGTAGGTTGGGCAGGCCGCGATAATCGTAAGTAGGGGCCGTAATTGGCCCCTGCGCGGGCTGCCGTACGCCGAGGTCGAATTGGACTTCCAATCCGATAGTCGTGATCTTGACGGTTATTGCCTTATCATAGGTTGAGAGACCATCTTACTATTGGAGCTACGTTTGGAGCACGATACCTCCAGCTCGGCATGACTGTATGAGTATGTCTCCCTTGAAACAATTAGACTAAAGAACACGCACCTTATACTCCTCACAGCTAAAGACGATGATCTATGATAAATCTCAGGAGTGAGATATAGCCGAATTGGCGAAGCTAGGGCCGACAGATGCGTGATGTACCTCGGGGACACTTTACTCGAAGTCCGTGTGACATCCGTTTAAACCTTAATAATGCTTCAACCACTCATGTAGATTCATGTCAAATTGGCTCATCTCCTCTTTTCGATCCCAATTCGTAGTCTCCCATATTCCTTCCAAAAAACCACGTCATCATGGGAGGAGAAAAGAAGCCATTCGAAATCGCCATCATTGGGGGAGGCATAGCTGGAATAATCCTCGCCATTTCGCTCGCTAAACGCAACGTACCCTGCATCATCTACGAGAAGGCCCATGCCTATACCGAGCTTGGAGTCGGCTTGGGAGTTTCGCCAAATGCTCTCAGGGCAATGATAACTTGTGATCCGGTGATTCTCGAGGCCCTCGAAAGCGTGGCCGAGCCTCCTTTCCGTTGGGAGGTGTTTGACGGTACGGATGAAGCAAACGAGGACACTGTTCTTTTCACACTTGGAAATTCTACTACAGGACTTAGGGGTTGTCACCGAGGCCAGTTCTTAACACACTTGCTCAAACATGTTCCTGATGACACGATACATTACAGTAAGGAACTGGAAAGCATTGAAGGGCCAGAAGAGGCGGGCAAACGACTTCGAATGATCTTCCGAGACGGATCAACCGCTGAGGCTGATGGAATAATCGGATGCGATGGGATCAAATCGCACACAAGAGGCATTGTCATAGGCCACGATCATGCGGCTACGAAGTGCACCTACACCTATAAGTACACCTACCGCGGTTTGATACCGATGAGTCAAGCTGTACAGATCTTGGGCCCAGACAGAGCAAGAACCTCCGGGCTGTGGGTAAGTTTCTTTCTTGATCACTCTCAAGACGGTCTATCGTGAAAATGTTACCTAACAATGGATTAGGTCTGCAACGATGCACACATAGTCACCTACCCGGTGGCTCATGGAAAAATGCTAAATTTGGTCGCTCACACCTCAACCACCGAGGAGTGGCCGAGCGAGACCCAATTCACACTTCCTACTACAGTAGATGACTGCATCAAAGATCTCAAAGCTTTCAGTCCGCGAATGCAGAAGGCGATACAGCTTTTGAAAGTTCTGGATAGGGTATGTCTGCGATGAACTCGCGCCCAGTCCTCATTTGTACCTTCAGATATCGAGTTAACGACCTATTTAGTGGGCTCTATTCGATCTAGGTGATGGCTCGGTCCCTACATTTGCGAAGGGCCGTATATGCCTTCTTGGAGACGCAGCACACGCATCCACCCCGCATCAAGGTGCTGGAGCGGGAATTTGCGTTGAAGACGCAGCAGTCATGGCATCGCTGTTGGCAGACCAAAAGGTTCGAGATAGTACAGCGATTGAGGCTGCGTTTGCTGCATTCGATGCCAGCCGTCGGGAAAGAGGTCAATGGCTTATTCGGGAGAGTCGAAGGGCTGGCGAACTGTACGATCTCCGGACGGAGCATGGGAAAGACTTTGATAAGCTACGTGAGGAAATCTTTTCGCAGGCAGACGAGTTGTGGAATTTTGACCTCGACAGAAACATCAGAGATGCGTTGGAGGACATGAGACGTCGTCTAGCTGCAGAATAGTGATGGTATTGGATTTATCGCATCGCCTCTATTGAGGTCGTTTTGTGTCTATTCACGGGTGCTTAAGAACTGGAAGCCTTTTGACAGTGGACTAGAGGTTTAAAACTGGCAGTGACAAGAGCAAATGCACAATTTAATTGAAGGAGTTATCAACAAACAATATGCTCAGGCTCCGCGCATTGTCCAAGCAGCGGAGCCACTTGATATTGTGTTCCAATAATATGATGTCAGATGGGGCTTCCAGTGTTACGTAAATGTGGGCATTTAAAATTCTTCGCCCAGATCTGGCGATAAGCGTAAATACACTCCAGCACTCCGATGGTTATTTGTGAACAACGTCAACTTTTTGGGACTGTAGTGTCACCTACAAATCAACCCCCGGCTTTTAACGAGATTCTACCTTCCAAAAGAGAAATTATGCCCGCAGATTTCGACAAGCAAAGTTACTGGGGCGAGCGCTTCGCATCCGAGACCAATTTTGAGTGGTTAACCTCGTCTGCAACCTTCATGTCGATCGTGGACCCATGTCTCACCAATCTGGACGACTCGGCTCGCATCTTGCAGCTAGGTTTCGGAACGAGCGACCTGCAGAACCATATCCGGGCAAGAGGTTTTCAAAACATCACCAACGTTGACTTCGAGCCTCGAGCCATTGATCGCGGCCGTATGCTAGAAAAGCAAGTATTTGGTGACGTGAAAATGCGCTACCTCGTTGCAGATGCCACGCAGCTCCAGCTCGAAGAGATGTACGATCTGATCATCGACAAAAGCACTGTGGACGCAATTTCCTGTGGAGGCGAAGAACTGGTATTAAGAATGGCAAAAGGAGTGAGACGACACTTGACCGACAGGGGCTTCTGGATCTCGTTGAGTTATTCCTCCGGCCGCTTCGACGTTGAAAACCTACCTTTCGATGTTGAGGTTTTTGCGAAGATCCCTACGCCTAGGCTAAAGCCTACCGACCCCGATATCTACCATTGGTGTTATTTGCTAACGCCAAAGGCTTTGTAACGACGGCCAGTCATACCCGTACGGTCCGTCGCAATTGAGGAGCATCGGAGACAGGGTCTATCACTTCTCAGCAACCATGAGAGACCCAAACAAGGTTATGGTGAAGGCTCAAAAAAAGGGAGTTAAGAAGAACGGAGTAATTCAATGTCTATGTTTAATCATCTATTTCTATCATGAATCGTCATGTCTCCATGCCAGTGCGCTCTATGCCAATGGTTTACCCGGCTTGAAAGCAGGGTGAAACGGGTAGTCTATGTAACCCTGCGGGATGGACGGCGTGTAGAAAGTGTCGCGGTCGTACTTGTTCAGTGGAAGGCTGTGCTTGATGCGGAATGGCAAATCCGGGTTTGCCAAGAAATGACGGCCGAAGACAACAGCGACATCCCACTTGGCATACTCCTCGTCGACAGCCTTCTGAGCCAGCTCGGGTGAGAATCCGCCTGCGACAAAAACGGGCGAAACGTTATCCCAAATCTCCAAGAGGTACTCGATACCCTCGATCTTCTCGACATCTTCCCAGTTGTTGACTCGAGACTCGATGATGTGCAGATAGGCAAGCTTGAGCTCCTTCAACTTCTGCGCGAGGTAAGAGAATTGAGGCACGGGATCCTGCATTCTCATCGCCTGAAACGTGCTGTACGGGCTGATACGGAATCCAACTTTATCGCTGCCAATCGCGTCGGCCAGCGCGGCTGCGACATCAACGGGAAATTTAGCCCGATTCTCGACGCTGCCACCCCACTGATCGGTGCGCTGATTGCAGGTATCTTGTAGAAATTGGTCAACGAGGTAGCCATTCGCGCCGTGGATCTCGACGCCGTCGAAACCAGCTGCGATCGCGTTCTTGCCAGCCTGCGCAAAGTCCTTGACAGCGGAAGCAATTTCTTCGGCTGTCATCTCGCGGGGCACCGGAGACTCAGGGCTAATGGGGATAGCGCTGGAGCTGAGCAGCGGATGGCCGCCCTCTTTCTCTAGAACAGGGACGACGGCGGCCCGGCCCGGTGCGATAAGTTGGGCGTAAATGATGCTACCTTTCTCGTGTACAGCATCTGTGACCTTTTTCCAACCGGCGATCTGGCGCTCGTTCCAGATGCCCGGGGCGTTGGGAAAGCCACCATGCTCCGGGGAGATGAGCACGGCCTCGGCGATAATGAGTGTACCGGGAACGGCGGCGCGCTGGGTGTAGTACTCGAGGGCGATGTCAAGCGGGATGTGGTCTGCATCGAAGCGAAAACGGGTGAGGGGCGCCATCACCACGCGGTGAGATAACTGGGCCTGGCCGACCTTCAGCGGCTGGAAGAGCTTGGACGACATGATGTAGGCTGAGGGTTTATCCCAGGTAGTCTAGGGAGAGAGTTTGCTAGTATCAAATGAGACAGTAGAGTTGAGCGTGATTAAGATGGCCACCAAGTTGATCTTATCCAGATGCCGCTTTGAAGAGGGCGGTCTGCCCCATTTGCAAAAAAGCGAATGGTGTTGGAGACTTTGGAAAGAGAGGAGCCAATAGCGTGTCACGGTCGCTCG